GGAGAAGTCGATGTGAAATCAGAGACACACACGTTGTTACTGTAAGATCTAAAAACAGCTCGCTGTCTGTCAATAACGGTCTGATTGTCCTCGCCGCTGACTCAGCAGTCTCTGATGAATGACATAATTACACCGTGCAGCGTCTGTAATCCCGGAGGGAAGGAATAATGTCGCTCTTTTCTGAATAGAAGATATTCCCGTCTCTTGTCTCCTCGTCCTCCTCGCTCTGCGTCTGATCAAGAAATAAACGATCTCAAATATAAAACATGCAGTAAAAAGTAACGGAGCAGTGTCGCTAATACAGCGGCCGATGTCAACAAACTGTTGTCATAGCGACAGGACGGACGTGCAGAGCTTTTCTTCTCAGCGCACAAACGCTTTGTGCAAACGCTCCAGAGCACACAGCCAGCGCTCTTCTTCTTATCGTCTGTGAAACAAAAACCCCGGCTAGAGGACGGAGCGCTGGATTGAAGAAGGAGCTCCATATAACTCCTCTTAAAATAAAATGATGTGCCCTGACGTCTGCACAGATTAAACTAACAACATGATATGAGAGGCTCCTCGGAGTCCTGCAGCTCTGATCCTCTCTCTGCTGCTTCATGAAGATATACATGAAGATATAAATATCTCATCAAACAAAGTATTCCTCTAATAACATGAGATTTACAGACCCCTGACAGGTTTCAGGTTTCAGGTTCATGCAGCCCACTTGTGTCAGAGATCTAATCCAGTCCAGATGTGGTTTTACAAAGAGAACTCCCTGCAGCGTGTTGCCGCTCAGGTTTGTTTGTGTCACATGGAGGAGAAAACGTGTGAGTTGTTGCTCCTCAGTAAATAAATGAGCTGAGACGCGGAGCGAGTCCAGAATGAGGAGGTCTAAGTGTTTGTCCAGGTGTCGCTGCTTCACATTCCAGCCTGCTGTCTGTTTCTGTCGTTGTGTTCTGAAGCCTTCAAACCAAACTGTCCCGACTCAGGACGGTCCGGCTCCTGCTCCTCATGATGATGTCACACTGATCTTCTTACTCAGATTCAATCAGGACTCAGGAGGAAAAAACTTCAGCTCTTCAGTCGTGTCTGAAAATATCGAGATGATTTCTGGAGGATTCTCTGGATATTCTCCTGATCTGACCTGTTCACACATGCACCTCACAGCGGGAGACTGTCCCTGTCAGACAGGAGGGGGGGGAGGGGGGGGCTCGTGGTCAGTCTACCTGTAGATGGTTATGACATCACGGCTCATAATCAAATCCACTATGGAGAAAATGATTTACTTCAGAATGCGCTCTGTCCAGCTCTAGAGGATGAATCTTTTTCTGAGTGTTGATTGAAATGTTTTTCTTGGATGTGTTTTCACTCACACGTCTCCTGCGTCTCTCCGTTTCTTGTTCACCGTGCTGAAAATTAAAGGTTTTATTTGTCGTCTCTGCGCCGGCTGTCAGGGACGTTTGTACGTTTGTTTATGTGAAGATTTCAGGGAGTAAACAAGTTCAAATGTTTGCCCCCCCCCCATCCCGATGATGTCATTGGCTCTCTCTCTCAGAGGTCATTGTTAGCGAGGGGAAGTCGCTGGCTTGTGCTACAGTAATGGACGCCCACTATTGTTGTCTTTGTTTGTGTGTTGACTGTTTGGTGGGCAGCTTTTTGTTCCCCCGCTGGGACTTTCCTCCGTGATCTACATTTAGCGCCGGGCTCCGAGGGGTTTCTGAGGGTCACGCGGGGCCGCCGCTGCTGCTGAGGCAGGTGTGGCTCCTCATGGTTTTGGCTCTCCCTCGGCGATGTTTGGCCTTGAGGGGGATTTGGCTCCAGGTCAGCGTTTACTTTGTGTCCCTGCGTGTTTGTTTAAAGTGTTCCTGCGCCAGCTGGTCGTGTTTACACAGACCGAACGCCATCTGATGTAAAGATGGAGGCTTGTTGTGCTCTTTAAACATTTCTGAACTGTAGCAGGTCGGCTTGAAGAGGCTGAACCTACAGGACTCCTCTAATCGTTTCATTTCCCTGAAGGATCATCCGGCTTTATTACAACCTGGATCCTATTAGTTTGTGTTTATTGCCATCGAGTCCATCAGCGGTAATAACTTTGTGCTTCCAAAGGTCATGAAGTACAAAGAAGAGAAAAGATAAGATCATTATTTATTAAAGAAGTCGGTACAAACAGGTCGGGCAGGGTAAGAAAAGTCAGGAAGGTCAAATCCTGAATTTGATCGAGTTATTCTGAATCTGAAGTTAAAAAATCAGCAAATATGAATCTTTAAAGGAGCAGTCTGTAACTCTGACCCCTAGTGGTTAAAATGGGTACTGCAGTCTAAATTCTAAACATCATAGAGAGCTGTCTCCCCCCCCTCCTCTCTAGAGTGGATGCTCACTCAGGTCACCATGTGGTGGACTCTGAAGCTTCAGTGTTTATCCAGCTCTGCATGGGTCTGTAAACCTTTCTGTGTTCTAACCTCTCTCCATTTTTCAAAAGCATCTCCAATATTGATCCTAGTTTGAGCACGTTTCTGCTCGTGGAGCTGCACAGTCCGGTGTTTAAGTCTCCGTGTGGTCAAACACGTGCAGACAACAAACAGTGACGAGAGCTTTGTGACGAGGCGTGCGTTCCTAAAATATTTAAAACATGTCAGAAACAATGAAGCAGCTTTCAACAAGTTTTTGTTTGTTAGAGACGTCAGAACATTTCCAAAGAATCGTCTTTGTTGCCCCCGCGTGCTGCCTATCTTTAGCAGCTTCCAGCGAGCCTGCTGCTGTCGAGCTGGTCGACCGAGCTCTGAGTCAGGCTCGAGGAATGTGAGGCAGACCTCAATTAGAAAGACAAGGCGCTTAGATGGCTTCCTGTTCGCATTTCAGAGGGAATTCCCTTTTTTTGATCTGGAGTCCGAGAGACCACATGATGTAGCACGCGTGCTGACAGACTGAAAGACCCTTTTTCAGTGTTTAAACGTTCCAGCAAAGAGTTCACTGAAGACATTTATGCAATGTAGCCTACAGGGCCGTCTGCAGAAATGGCTGCACCCCTGAAAAGCCCAGCCCAAAGAGGTCCTGGACCCTCCCAGGATTTTATGTTAAAAGGGACGTATGACGTCATTGCATTTAAAGAGACACACACACCAAAACGGAGCGTTCTGAGAGAGCTGGTTTATACAGGGTCACAAACCTCCTCTGGTGCTTGATTCATGTTATATTTTGACCAAAGCACAGAACAGATGTTTCATTTAGACCACAGGGGACTGTTTGAAAAGGTGGAGGAGGACTGTTTGAAAAGGTGGAGGAGGACTGTTTGAAAAGGTGGAGGAGGACTGTTTGAAAAGGTGGAGGAGGACTGTTTGAAAAGGTGGAGGAGGAGGATAACATGTCCTCTTTAAATCAAAGTATGCACATTGGATCAGTTGTGTTAGCGTTAGCCTCCGAGCTAACATTAGCGCCCTCTGGGGTAGTTAGTTTATTTTACAAAGTGTACCATGAATTATCCTGCTTCATGATAAAGGTATCTCGTCATGATGCATTTGTAACTTTTAGGAAGTAGCTCAGTCTGTAGAGACTGGGGTTGGGCACCGGAGGGTCGATGGTTCAAGTCCCGGTACGGATCAAGTCTGTAAATTGGTCTGGTACGTGCTTCAGCCTCGGTTGATGTCAGTGTTTTGTTGTCATCTCTCTCTCTCTCTCTCTCTCTCTCTCTCTCTCTCTCTCTCTCTCTCTCTCTCTCTCTCTCTCTCTCTCAGTGACTCTGAACCGTCCTGTTTGCAGAATCGATCGCTCTGTGTTTTTGTTTCAGTGGTTAAAGGTCGGGAGGTGGTTAAAGGTTCCATGTCAGGAACAGCGGTGAATAGAAGCATTATGGTGAGAACGGAGTCTGCAGACAGAGCGACTTGCTGCCCTTGAGCACAGCCCCCCCCCCCCCCCCGCTTTGAGGTGATAGCGACCGACGCCGCGGCCTCTGTGGTTCCGATGATAAGCTCGTCTCCTGCTGTCAAGGCCTTCAGCTGCAGCTGTGTGCTCGCCATTACACTGTAGAGGATTTACAACAGAGCCTGCAGTTATCAGTCACACACACACACACACACACACACACACACACACACACACACACACTCTTCCTCTGCAGGGTCACTGATGTTCAGGCTCTCATTGTTTTGATCTTGGTGGTAAAGTTTCTGTTGAATCAGGTCGATGACATCAGAGACTTTAGTGATCAAAGTTCTCGACCGGTTTGGATTTCTTTATTTGTCCTGACTCCAACTTCTTTATCTTCATTTAGAAATCAAAGAGATTTCCTTATTGTGGTTGCCTCTATTAGACAGGACTGCTGAGGAGAGAGCGAGCAGCAGATGTCAGAGGTCGGCTGCTGAGGAGAGGACTCGAGCCTCCGTACATGGGGCGCTCCACCTCGTCTATCGGCGCTCCATCAGCCTTGTTTTTCTCCTCAGTCTCTAAACGTCGTCGGTCGTGTTCGTGCATTTTTAGACTCTGCAGGAGTTTGTCGGCCATTTTCTGCTGTTGGAAAAACAAGAAATGACCAAAAACAGCTTTCAGTCGCAGCTCACACTTCCTTATGTAGCAGTCTTTGATGCAGAATCCTGTGTTTCCACGGCAACCAGAAACATATCGTGTCTGTCACTCTGACATTACAGCTGTAAAATAACAGATTTCTCTGGATTTGATAAATGTTGGAAATATTTGAGGTGATGTAAGAACTCAACACCAAAAACAATATATACCACAGGTTTATCCATCCACCATTTCCTCCACTTATCTGTCTAAACCTGGAGAGACACACACACACACACACACACACACACACAGATGTTCATAATTAAAGGGTTTCATCCTCAAATTAGACATTTTGAAGTCCACGCCGGCGTCTGCTCCTCCCTCTAATCTGAGAACGGAGCGAGGTCCGAGGAGTCGTCCACGGCGAGCAGCAGAAGATTTAATTATACAGAAAAACAAACAAAGACGGAGCTCATTAGAAAAATGTCTTAACTCTCGTCCCTTGTGTCCCTCAGAGCTCGACGCAGGAGATCGGCGAGGAGGCCGAGGACGACGCCATCTTCACCATCACGCTGAGGAAGGTGCAGCTCCACCAGTCGGCCAGTAAGGGGCAGCGATGGCTCGGCGTGGACACGGACTCCGCCCTCAGCCTCTACGAGACCTGCAAGGTGCGGACCATCAAGGCGGGCACGCTGGAGCGTCTGGTGGAGTACATGGTGTCGGCGTTCAGGGGCAAAGACTCCACCTACGTCACCATCTTCCTCTGCACGTACCGCTCCTTCGCCTCCACCCGCCAGGTGCTGGACCTGCTGCTGCACAGGTAAATCTGACACGCCGCACCGTGACCCGCTGGAGGAGAAGTGTCCCTGCAGCGCTGCGTTCTGTTCTCGTCCTTCTCTACATCAACACGTCTTTCTCTTTCTCTCTTCAGGTATGCGAAGCTGCAGAACGTTCCAGCAGCCACAGCACACAGAATCTCTCAGGACGATTCCACAGAGCTGAGAAAGTGAGTCTGACAACATGAATCACTGAAAGCATTCACAGCTCTGAGCCTCCTCCTCCTCCTCCTCCTCTTCCTCACAGCCGGGTCAAACAGTTCGGGGTTATTTTTCTCTGTCAGACGAGGGGAGGAGGAGGAGGAGGAGGAGGAGGAGGAGGAGGTGTTTCTGTGAGACTTTGAGAAAACACAGTTCATGAGCTGATAATAAATAATAAACGTCAGGAGAAAACCTGCAGCGTTCACTTCACTCTGAACCATCTGTTTTACTGAAAGTGAGCATTAGCATTGTTAGCATTGTTAGCATTGTTAACATTTGGTGTTTAAGCCACATGGGATAGTTTACTACATCCCCGGGTCAGAGTGTGTCTTTGAGTCATGGAGGACTTCTTCTTCTGCAGGTTTCACTTAAAGCGTATATTTCTCACACGTTCTGAACAGCGTGCGTTGGTGTGAACACTCAGAGATGTTTGTTTTTAAGTCGTGACCTCCGTTCCTCTCCGTCTGTTTGCAGCACTGTCTCGTCCATCCTGGGCGCCTGGCTGGATCAGTACTCTGAGGACTTCTGGAGTCCTCCCAACTACGACTGTCTGCACCAGCTGATGTCCTACCTGCACCGACACTTCCCCGGCTCCGACCTGGAGCGCCGCGCGCGCAACCTGCTGGCCCACTTCCACCGCCGACAGCAGTGTGAGCCCGATCCCGATGGTATGAAGGCAGAGCAGGAGAGGGAGAACAGGGACACGTCATTTCATGTTGAACCTAAACGAGTTTAGACGAGTTGACGATCTGTGAGGGAAATAAAACGAGGTCTCAGCAGCAGGATGTTCAGGTTGATCTCACGTCGCTGCTGAGTCGTTGTTGAAAATGTGTTTTTTTTTATCTTCATCTCTTCAGGGGAGCACATCGGCTGCCCTTTCGCCACGCAGGAAGAGAGCGGCTTCGAGGACGAGCTTCCTGCCTTCAGTTTCCTGTCGTTCGACCCCATCATGGTGGCAGAGCAGTTCACGCTCATGGACGCGGTGAGGACGTTTCCCTTTCCTTTAAACTTTGGTTCACAGACACACAGACACTTTGTCTTGATGACAGGCACGCCAGCTTTTTAGATCTGCAGCTAAATCTGAGTTTGATTCATCGTTCTCCCTCCTGATGGGACTTCTTTATTCCTACCAACGAGTTAAAATCTCCCAGCTTACCATGAAACACACCTCATGTTCCTCTAGTCCGTCTATAAACCCCCCAATGATGAGAGAAGTCCATCCTCTCCGTCTTCTGCCTGCTCCACTTTTCAGAAAATGTGTGCTCAAACAGGCTGTTTGGAGATTTTCCCTTCATGACATCACAAAGGGCAGTAGCCCCTCCCCCAGGTGGGTGACACTCCCACAGCTAGGTGTTTGTTCTGCCCTCTGAGTCTGCCTTCTCACCGTAAACAATAGGACATGGAGTGAGAAAGACAAAGACACCCAAAGCCCTTCCAGAGAGGGGGTGTGGTCAGACACAGCTCATTTACATATTTAAAGGTACAGACACAGAAACAGCCTGTTCTGAGCAGGGCTGAAATAGAGGGGTTTATATACATGCTTACTAACCCCCCCTTCTCTCTTCCTGTCCAGGATCTATTTAAGAAGGTGGTGCCCTACCACTGCCTCGGGGGGATCTGGTCTCAGCGGGACAAGAAGGGGAAGGAGCACCTTGCTCCCACCATCAGAGCCACCGTCGCTCAGTTCAACTCCGTCACCAACTGTGTCATCACCACCTGCCTGAGCAACCCCGCGCTGAAGCCCAATCAGAGAGCGCGGCTGCTGGAGAGGTGGATCGACGTGGCGCGGGTGAGAAAACAGCGACTGGTTTGATTTCTTTACTTACAGCGACTGGTCGTTTATCAGAACTAATATTTAAGCGTTTTAAGGCACAGTCTGCTTTGTCTGTTTCTGAATATTGTTGTTGTTGTTTTTTCAGGAGTGTCGGATTCTGAAGAACTTCTCCTCGTTGCGAGCCATCCTCTCCGCCCTGCAGTGCAACGCCATCCACCGCCTGAAGAGGACGTGGGAGGAAGTGTCCCGGTAGGTTTTTTGAAATCCTGTGGCTGCTCTTAAGTTTCTGCATGGATGGAGTCTTGACCTCTTCGTCCGTTCACAGGGAGAGTTTCCGCACCTTCCGCGAGCTGTCAGAGATCTTCTCCGACGACAACAACTACTCGCTCAGCCGAGAGCTGCTGGTCAAGGTGGGTCACTGCCTATTAATCCCCCCTTCCCCCAAAGAAAGCCCTTAATACTGGATCTCCTCTTCACTGAGGCAGATTGACAATGTCAGGCTCGTCCTCAAATGTAAAGTAGCTTCCTTCTGTTCCTCCGGACACAAGCTGCAAAACATGCGATATAACGATGCACTGCTCGGCAAGATATCGAGGTTTAAACTATCTGCGTACAAATGATTTAGCAGCACACTCTAACCGTTTCACACGTGAACCTTCTTCAAATATCAGGATATTTTCAGGACTTCATCATGGTGCACAGAGATCGAGGCGGTACAGAGATATACAATCCATCAGTGTGAGGTTTGCAGCAGGATGTGTGCATGGTGGCCCGCTCTATCAGTGGACTTCCTCAGGTCTGTGTTGTAGCAGCAGCTGCAGACGAGAACACCTCGTTCTCTGGATCACAGTTTCTATAAATCACTCGTTGCGTCTCTGAAGGGCGAGCGGCGTGCAGCTGACAGATCGCCGTCATCGTCTGTGTGATTTGTAGAGTTTAATGTAGAGAGGCGTCGACAGCTTCTGAGTGTCAGCAGCTGGTGCTGACGAGAGGTCAAGGACAGCGGACCTACACGAACCTGCACACAGAGAAACACAGACTGTGGTGCAGTGGGTACTGCAGGTTCCTGGTTTGAATCCCTGCTCATGTGGAGTTTACATGTTCTCTCCCACAGTCCAAACACATGCCGGTCAGGTTTATTGGGACTCTTTGAGTGCCTTCAGGTGTGAGTGTGAATGTTTGGTCGTCTCTGCATGACAGCCGTGTGACTGACCCGTCCAGGACGTACCCGGTCTCTCCAGGACGTACCCGGTCTCTCGCCCAAAGACCGCTGGGATCGGCTCCAGGATCCAGGATTGTATTGTCACTGTGACTGTAACAAATATGGTGTTTTAGGGATACACCGATACATGCCCTGTTGACAGATATCGGCAAATAATGTGGCAGGAGCCGACGTCTGCAGCCGACGTTTATCTGTTGATCCAAATGGATTTTAACGCTGACATCTAGTTCACCTGACTCAGAGAAGAAGATCTTATTGGGCTGATGAAGTCACAATAAGATGATCGGGATGATTTCATCGTCTAACATGAGAGAAAACGTCGACATTGTTGGAGTCTGACACCAAAAGAAGTGACGACACAAACATCGCTATCGGCCCTGATTTAACCAATCGGTGCATCTCTAGCGTTTATATCTACATTATATCTAATCTCTGCACCTTTAAGAAAAAGCTAAAGACCCAGCTCTTTCATGAATACCTACTAACTTAATGATGATGGTCTCCATATTATTGATGATGATGATGGTAATGACGATGGTTTTTGTTTGATAACGATGACTTATAAGATGGTTTCTATACTGATTAGAGCTCTCAAGAACTGCCCTCAATGTTGTGCTTTGCCTCTGGTCACTTCCTGTCAGCACCTGTGTGTCCAATCAGACTCAAAGCTGATCGTTTGCTCTTACTCACATTGTTCCCTTTTTTCTAGCTCTTTGCTTGTGTTGTTCTTCCTCTCTGATGTACGTCGCTTTGGATAAAAGAGTCTGCTAAGTGAATTGTAGAATCTAGAAAGTGTTATAACAGTTATCAAGACGGTTTTATTCACTCAGTGCGATCTCATAACTGAAGTTAATTAAGGTCACGTCGTCATATAGACCGAGATAAGTCAAAGACACCCTCCATCATTTCTGACTTCCTGACTGTGACTCTCAGCCTCAAACCCCACTGGTGACTCCTGGAGACAAAAATCACAAAGAACAGCTGTAGTGTGTTTCTTGGGGACTACTTTATGCGGCGTAATGAAAACATTTCTTGCACTAGTGAATGTTTGCTGCAGGAGGACTGTGTGTGTGTGTGTGTGTGTGTGTGTGTGTGTGTGTGTGTGTGTGTGTGTGTGTGTGTGTGTGTGTGTGTGTGTGTGTGTGTGTGTGTGTTGTGTGTGTGTGTGTGTGTGTGTGTGTGTGTGTGTGTGTGTTCTAAACTTCAACTTTTGCATAAAAGGTGGAAACATTCAGTGTGTGGGACTTCTCAGTCTGTTTGTTATCATAAAAGGAAACTACCGAGTATTAGTGGACGGCCCCTGCTCTCCCCTGAGGGAAACCCCCCCGCTGACGTGCAGAGGTGGTGAGGGAAACCTTTTGCTCGGTGAAGATAACATCTCCGATCTGACACTCAGCTCGGGGGGCGTCGCTGCTCCCTCGCTCTATCTGCTCGGACCAGACCGTGCTCTCTCTCTTCACTCAGATCGAGTTACTGCGGGTCAGGAGGCCTCTGAGCGTTACCTCACCCCTAAAGAATGTGGGGGGGGGGGGGGTCCACGCCAGCTTCTTCTCTTAGGTCAGGTTTCTGTGGCTGTTAAAACTCAGCAACAACGAGAACGTGAATTCGAGGTCAGACTGCACCATCTCTCTGTCTGTTAGGATGCTCGACGTGTCAGATTAGGCGAGTCGCTCGTCTCCTAACTGGAAGGTCGGGGTTCGATCCCCAGCTCCTGCAGCCACATGTCGATTAGTTGAAGGATACTGATGTTCACTTCAGAAATATCTACCATCAGTGTGTGAATGTGTAGCTGTGACCTGCGGTGACTAGAAGACTAGAAAATAAATATTCAAGCTCAAGTCAACTTAACATTGATCATCAGTCGACCTCCTCTCCGGCTGAGCTGAATTCAAATGTGCAGCTTGATAACGCCGACCTGAGAGCTCCGCCTCCTCCTCTCGAGCGTGCACGCCGGCTGCTTCAACAAACATCTGATGTAAAGTTTTTAATCTCATTGTGAAGACTTCCAGAACTCAGCCGGCGCTCCATCGGTCGTTCTCATAGCGATCAGTTCCCTCTGAGAGGTCGGCGCCGCTCAGCCTTTGTTAACAGTTGTATAATGTCTAATGTTGTTATACCAGTCTAAGTATAACCCCAGCTGATTGGGCTTTGGCTCCGACGCTGCAGATTTGAACGGAGAAGCTTGTGTAACAAGTCTGAGACACGAGGAGAGTCCGGCCAAATGTAATCGAGTTAGAACGTGCATCACGGAGCTGAAGCATCCGAGGTCAGTCCCAGACTTCAGGACACAGACCTCGAAGCGCCCTCGTGTGGTGTTCGCTCTAAGAGCTTCATACTCTGTCAACATTTATCTGGTTTTATTTTGAAAGGGTTTGTCAGATTGTCAAAGTAACGACAGAATAAAAGCAGCAGACTTTTTATTGAACAGTTGGATATTTTCACATTTTGCATGTTTAATTATAATGTTTGTGTGGACTGAAACATCTTAAGAATAAAGTTTAAACAGCCTGTAAGGGACAGAAACATAAACACACCTCTCACCTAGTCCACGTTTTCACAGCCAGTTTGAGCGTTAGTTAAAAATGCTGCTGCGTCTCCAGAAAGCGTTTTAATAACACGTGCTTTGGTTGTTAAAGCCCTTTGGAGATCGTTCCTCAGGATGAACAGAATTGCATTTTATTTATTTTGTGTATTTAACCCAGACTTGTTTTCTCTGTCGTCCTGCAGGAGGGCACCTCTAAGTTCGCCACGTTGGAAATCAACCCCAAGCGAGCTCAGCGGAGACACCAGCAGCAGAGAGACCTGGTGGGTTTACAAAGGAAGCAAAACAGAAACAACCACACTCAGATAAATGTCATGAGAGGAGTCTGACTTTTATCTGCTGTGCATGTTGGCATTAAGTTTTCAAGATGTGTCAGTTTTGTAGCAACAGCTCTATCTTGTGGCGAGTATAAGTAGCTGCAGTTTGACTAAAAGTACACTTTTATTTTATTACTCAATATGTGTATAATGAGGCTGCGATGTCGGGTTAAATAAGAGACAGTCTGTGATTACCTGCATGTTATGACTTTTATCTTCTTGCATCTTTGTGTGTTAAAGGATCAATCAGTGAGATGTGTAGAGAGATAAATGATAAAGGTATCTTACTATCTGATCATTAAGGAAACATGTTGAAGTGCTGGCTTCTCTGACAACAATGCAGCAGCCAGTATGTCCTCCTTCTAACTTTAGATTCTGCTCCTGAATGCTCTGGATTTGTTTGGACCAGAGAAGATAGGCGCTTTTAAGACACGCCCCCACAAGTTTTGGACGCCCCTCGATTTGTCAGATATGAGAGCAGTTATCAGGTCAACAGGTGTTGCAGCGATGGAAGCGGTCAAGAGAAGTGGTTCAGATAGAAGTGATTGTACCCGACCTAAAAAGCCTCTGCATGTTTCTAATAAGCTCCACGAGCAGAAACGTGCTCAAACTAGGATCAATATTGGAGATGCTTTTGAAAAATGGAGAGAGGTTAGAACACAGAAAGGTTTACAGACCCATGCAGAGCTGGATAAACACTGAAGCTTCAGAGTCCACCACATGGTGACCTGAGTGACATCCACTCTAGAGAGGAGGGGGGGAGACAGCTCTCTATGATGTTTAGAATTTAGACTGCAGTACTCATTTTAAACACTAGGGGTCAGAGTTACATACGCCTCCTATTTTATCTCTGCTCCTCTGATGACCCTCTCTCTCTCTCTCTCTCTGTGTGAACAGGGAGTGATGCAGGGGACCATCCCTTACCTGGGGACCTTCCTGACCGACCTGGTGATGATGGACACGGCCATGAAGGACTACACCGAGGTCAGACACCTGACCCCGGACTTTCACAGTCAGTCGTTTTTATTCCAATCTTTTTTTCAATCATTTTCTCATGTTTTTATTATCTTCTTTTTCAGGGTGGTCTGATCAACTTTGAGAAGAGAAGAAAGGTGAGTTAGAAAACATGTTCTTCAGGGGGTTTAGGATTCATGTCTTTGTCTCTCAGACCAGATTCAGTGTCAATCCCCTTCTTCTTCTTCATTCCCCCGCTCTGCTCTCGTCCTGCAGGAGTTCGAGGTGATCGCTCAGATCAAACTGCTCCAGTTGGCCTCTAACAACTACAGCTTCACTCAGGACAGCCACTTCAGAGAGTGGTTCGCAGGCGTGGAGAAACTCAGCGAGGCAGAGAGGTGAGGCTCTTCTGCTGTTCTCTCTCTCTAATGACGCGTCTCTGTGGGCGATCGACAAGCTCAGCTCTCGAGCACCTAATTCTTTCCAGAGTTTCTGAGTTATTGTTCGGGCGTTCTTGTGAATTTTCCAAATCGGAAACTAATTTTTCCAACGCGTCTGACACCACATGAATGCAGCGTTTGTCCTGCTTCCATCACTGAGGGTTGTGTTGTGTTTACTGACACGTCAGTGCAGGATTTCTGAGCTCTGACCTCTCTGTCAGGATGGCTGTGGTTAAAATAAAACATCTTTGAGAGGATGTCATTGTGTGGATCTTTTGTTTTCCTGCAGCTACAATCTGTCCTGTGAGATCGAGCCTCTGTCGGAATCGGCCAGCAACACGCTGAGAGCCAAGAAGAACGGAGGGATCATGAAGCGCTGGAGCGAGTGAGTGAATAAAACAGAGAGAGAATAACTTTGGTTATCCTGCAGCTGGTCGTGTGTATCATGACTCACATTAACATTAAACTGTTCTGTTTCGATGTCCAGTCGTCAGCTGACGGAGGCCGGTTGCAGCGCCTCCAGCTCCCACTCAAAGTCCTTCGACCACTCGCACTACAGACCGTACCAAGGGGGCGGGGGGGGCGGGGGACAGCGGCGACGCCCTCAGCGTGACCTCGGTCAGCTCCAGTGGTTCAGACCTGGAGGACGTGAACGCCAGCTTCCTGTCCGACTCCCCGGAGGGCCATGAGAGGAAGGTCGGTCTCACATGTACTCATCTGCTCTGATGTCACCTCCAAGCAGCCAATCACAGAGCAGTTCTGCCTGCTCACCTGTACGGCTCTTCTTCTTTAACTTCCTGTCTCTCTCTCTCCCTCTCTCTCTCTCCTC